ACCCGGCATGAGTTTTAAGCCACCGGGTCTGGGACATAAACCGCGGTCGACTACGTGGGAGTCCAGCGACATAGCCATTACGCTAACTGCTGGTTCCCTGATTTGCAATACATTTTGAGATCAGGGAGTGAGGTACCTCTTACTTCATTCTTTTTTGCACAGTATTGCTTTGGTGATATGGGCCTTTTATGATTCCAGATCAAGTTTATATATTTTTTTTCTAATTCTTTGAAGAATATCTCTGATAATTTGATCAAGATTACATTACATTTGTAAATTAACTTGTGCAATATTGACATTTTGATTATATTAATTATAATCCAGAAACATGGGATGTCTTTCCACTTTTTTCGTATCATTTCAATTTCTTTTTAAATCGTTTCATAGTTTCCCTTGTAGAGACTTTTCACTTCTTTGGTTAGGTTTATTCCCAGGTATGTTACTGTTTTAGTGGCTATCCTAAATGGGATTGTTCTCTTCAAGTCTGCCTTAGTCTGTTAATTGCTGGTGTATAGAAATGCTTTAGATTTTTGTATACTTATTTTATATCCTGCCATTTTACTGTATTCATTTATCACTTGCAGCAGTTTGAGAATTCTTTTAGATTTTCTATGTATATAATCATGTCATTGGCAATTAGAGATAATTTCACTTCTTCTTTCCTTACCTGAATGCTTTTTATCTTACTCTTTTGTCTGATTGCATTAGCTAGGTTTCCAGCACTATATTGAAAAGGAGTGGAGAGAGTGGGCAGCCCTGTCTTGTTCCTCAGTATGATGTAAGCTGTGGGATTTTCATATATGGCTTTTATTTTGTTGAGAAATGTCCCTTATATGCTGATTTTGCTGAAAGCCTTAATCATAAAGGGATGCTGTATTTTAACAAATGCTTTTTCTGCATCAATTGATATGATCATATGGTTTTTATTATCATATGTATTACATTTATGGTTTTGTATATGTTGAACTACCCTTGCATCACTGGAATAAGGCCTACCAGGTCATGATATATGATCTTTTAAATACGTAACTAGATACGATTTGCTAGTATTCGTTAGAATTTTTGCATCTGTATTCATTAGGGACATTGCTCTGTAGTTTTCAGTTTTTGTTATGTCCTTGTCTATTTTGGGCATGAGGGTGATGGAAGCTTCCTAGAATGAATTTGGTAAGGTTCCTTCCTTTTGGAGCCACATATAATTTACATGAACATTTGGTGGTATATCTATGATCAAATTCTACAGAAAGTATTATCCATTTCATCTACCTTTGTTTATTTTTATTTAGTCCCTATTATGTGCCAGATCCTTGCATGTATGTTAGCTTTAGCCCTCCATGATGTACAGTATTTTCTAAACTGCACACATGATGAAATGGAGGGGTAGGAATATTAAACAACTCGCTAGATGTCAGAAGTAGCAAGCTGTAAGCCAGTACTAGAAACTACGCCTCGCTGTCTTTAAACAATATGTCCGTTGGGTGAGCAGAAGACAGAAATAGTCCTTACCTCCTGGGTTGATTCCAACTGCTGTATGCTGCATTTTGAAGTTCACTTTCTTCCCCCTCTCCTTCTTCTCGCTCTGGTAGTTCTGGCATGTCTCTGGTTAAAGAGTTACACAATGAATACTCAAAATCCAGGCAAGATTGTCTTATACATAATTTATTGTTGCTTTAGCTAAAAATGTAGAACTATTTTATATTTCTACCATGTCTGGCTAGTAAGTATAGAACATTTTCACAACAGGAGAAAAGGAAAACCTAACCAAACAAAATTAAAATTTTACATTAGAATCACTCTACCTTAACTTAGTCTCAAGATATAACTAAACACTAGAATTTTGCCTAGTCTCT